GCGATGTGAGCGAGACAGAGAGAGAGCGAGCGGACGAGCAAGACAGCGAGAGAGCGAGCGAGTGAGCCAGAGAGAGAGAGCGAGCGAGACGGAGAGAGAGCGTGCGGACGAGACGGAGAGAGAGCGAGCGGACGAGCGAGACAGCGTGCCGACGAGGGAGACAGATAAAGAGTGAGCGAGCAAGACGGAGAGAGAGCGAGCGAGGGGACGAGCGTGCGTTCACCTGGAAGGCCGTCTGGCTGTTGAAGTTCTTGATCTCCTTGCTTGCGCCGCGATACAGCAGCACCCGAGCACAGCTCTCCTGCGCGAGCACGGACACGCGGCGAGTGAGCCGTGGCCGTTTGTTGCTTCTGCTTTTAGAACCACCGTGGATTTAGAGCATTTGACTGCTACGACAAATTTCCACGTCATAAGCCACTTCGCTGGCCTATCATTTGTAACAAGGTTGCTTCTGAAAAAGAGACGAATAGTTCAGGAGGCCTAACAATGGGTCAGCTATAGCTGACCTCATGGCGGCCACGAGATTCGTCGTCATCATCATCATCGACTGCGAAATTATTGCCGTCTTAATCAACATCGTAATTTTCACGTTTAGCAAATTCATCGTCGTCGTCATCAGCAGGCCTTGTGTGCTCAGTTGGTCTAACCTGGTAAACAAAATTAAAATAAAAAAGTTGTCTACAGTAAAACCTTGGATTGCGAGTAACTTTGTCTGCGAGTGTTTTGCAAGACGAGCAAAAATTGTAAATAAATATTAATTTGATAAACGAGCGAGCTCTTGCAATACGAGTAGTACGTGCATACGCTTTGTCTGCCGAGCGTCACGTGATCACAACTGATATACGAGTGCTTTGGATTACAAACACGTTTCCGGAACGAATTATGCTCGCAATCCGATGCTTTACTGTAGTTTCACCTGGTTGTAGAGGGCACAGATGTGCAATGCCGTGTTGCCAGACGCATTCTGGGCGCTCATGTCGGCCCCGTAGAACAAGAGGTGTTCCAGGTGTTGCACGAGCCCGTGTCTGCAGGCCTGCCGGAGACAACAGACACCTTTGAGCAGAGGTCGCAATCGGGTACCCGATACCCGTACCCTACCCGATACCCGGCTACGCGTACCCAGCCGGGTACGGGTACCCGTTTGCGACCCTGGTGCAGCCGGGTACGGGTACGGGTAGACCGTGAGTCACTGGTGAGTAGCCGTTTGTCACTCATTTCCCAACGTCTTGTCTCGTCTCACAATTCAAGTTCCTAGAATCAACCCACCCACACCTGCAACATGGCGTCATCCCAGAGGTCGCAATCAGGTATCCGATACCCGTACCGGGTACGGGTAGGGTACGGGTATGGCCGGGTACGTGTACGGGTACCCGTTTGCGACCCTGGTGCGGCCGGGTACGGGTAAGGAATCAAAACCCGTTTACGACCTCTGCCGTTGGGGCGAGTGCGGCTTAGCGAGCTCCTGTTGAGGCAGGCAAACGTCGCACCGATGAGGCGGGCGGGCCCCTCACCACGCGCCCGGCCGCTTTAGTCCCCCCGGCGGCGATGTTTACACACCGCACCAGGTTTTTGGTTTAAGGCTGAGCCGACTTAAGGGTAGGGGGCCCAGGAACGGTTAAAATAATCGTCGCTCGGTGTTGGTGGCCGTGAGCGGGACTGGAAATCGGGTCGCCGGGTTATTTATTTTATTGGAATTTATTGTTATTTACTCGGGTAAGGCCCACTGAGCTACGTAGCTCTCATTCAGAAGCGACCTGGCTACCACAAATGATGGCCTCAACGAAGTGGCTTATCGTCGTGGAAATTCCTAGCAGCCAAATACTCTGAAGCGCTTTTGTTTTTAACTGTGGAGGGAAGAACCGGAAGACTCGGGGAAAAACCCACGTGACCATGGGGATAGAGAGAGAGACACGCAAAATCCAAAAATACAGCAGGCGTCAGGGTCGGGCTCGAACCCACAACCTCCTGTACACCAGGCGAGTTAGTCAACATCTCCTAGCCACCGTGATGATGATAAAAGACGCAAACTCCAAATATACAGCAGCAGGCGTCAGGGTCGGGATCGTACCCACGACCTCCTGTACACCAGGCGAGGTAGTTAACATCTCCTAGCCACCGTTTAGATGATGAGAGACACAAACTCCAAATATACAGTAGCAGGCGTCAGGGTCGGGGTCGAACCCACGACCTCCTGCGTACCAGGCGAGGTAGTTAATATCTCCTAGCCACCGTGAGGATGATGAGAGACACAAACTCCAAATACACAGCAGCAGGTGTCAGGGTCGGGGTCGAACCCACGACCTCCTGTATACCAGGCGAGGTAGTTAACATCTCCTAGCCACCGTGATGATGATCAGAGACGCAAACTCCAAATATACAGCAGCAGGTGTCAGGGTCGGGGTCGAACCCACGACCTCCTGTATACCAGGCGAGGTAGTTAACATCTCCTAGCCACCGTGATGATGATCAGAGACGCAAACTCCAAATACACAGCAGCAGGTGTCAGGGTCGGGGTCGAACCCACGACCTCCTGTATACCAGGTGAGGTATTTAACATCTCCTAGCCACCGTGATGATTATCAGGGACGCAAACTCCAAATATACAGCAGCAGGTGTCAGGGTCGGGGTCGAACCCACGACCTCCTGTATACCAGGTGAGGTATTTAACATCTCCTAGCCACCGTGATGATGATGAGAGACGCAAACTCGAAATATACAGCAGCAGGCGTCAGGGTCGGGATCGTACCCACGACCTCCTGTACACCAGGTGAGGTAGTTAACATCTCCTAGCCACTGTTTAGATGATGAGAGACACAAACTCCAAATATACAGCAGCAGGCGTCAGGGTCGGGATCGAACCCACAACCTCCTGTACACCAGGTGAGGTAGTTAACATCTCCTAGCCACCGTGATGATGATGAGAGAGAGGGAGACACGCAAACTCTAAATCTACAGCAGGCGTCAGGGTCGTGATCGAACCCACGACCTCCTGTACACCAGGCGAGGTAGTTAACATCTCATAGCCACCGCGGCGCTCCACGTAACGCACGGTGGCGCCAACCACCGCACTGCTCGCCACGGTCGCGCGGACCGACCTCGCTTCACCCCCCCCACCCCCCCCCACCTGGTGGAGCTCGTTCCAGCCGCTCTCGTCGCTGCTGCCCACGGTGGCGTGGTCGTGCAGCAGCGTATCGCAGCAGCGGGCGTCGCCCCCCGCCAGCACCGTGTAGTAGAGCGGCGTGAGTCCGCGCGCGTCCCCGTAGTCCGGCGACGCGCCCAGGTCCAGCAACGTCTGCGGAGGGGGGGGGGATCAAGGGTCAAGAGAGGTCAGTCGGAGGTCAGCGGGTCAAGGTGGCCGCACGAGGTGGGGGCGGCGGTGGCTGTGGTCACACGTGGAAGAGTAGGGGGTGTGTGTTTGTGCTCGTGAAGGACGCTGCTACTGGGCACGCGCGCGTGTACATGTGTGCGCGTGCGTGCGTCTGCGAGCGTGCGTGTGTGCGCGTGTACATGTGTGTGTGCGTGCACGTGTGTGCGTGCGCGTGTGTGTACATGTGTGCGTGCGTTACCGAGAGCGCTTCGAGGTTGCGGGCGCGCGTCGCCTTGTGCAGCGCCGTAAGTCCGTCGCGCGAGCGGAAGTCCAAGTGGGCGCCGCCGTTCTTCAGCGCCTTGATGAGCTCCGTGGCCCCGTCCAGGCCCACCGCCGCTGTCAGAGGCGACTCTAGACCACGTGGGGGGGGGGGGGGGGGGGGGCGGTAGGGGGGCGGCCACCAGCGTCCACCGTCACCGTCACCGTTGAGGCGATGCGTGCGGCGCCGTTAGGCGCCTCGGCGTGCCGTGGCGGGAGGACCGGCCGAACGGGGCACGTCATCGCGCCGACGTCGGAGCCGACGGCACCAGGCCGCGTGCGCCACGGCCGGAATCGACGTCGCGACGCTCGCCAGGTGCAGGACGACGAGCATACTGAAGCGACGAAGCAGGAGAAGGGGGTTTCTCCACAGCTCTGGCGATGATGCCGGGTTGTGATGACCGGCGAAGCGCCGTACTTTCAGGTTGTAAATGCCGCGGCTTTGCTCTCCGACGCACAACCGGTGTGCTGTACCAGTGACGAATCGGCTACGTTCCGTTCACGCGACGAACCCCTTACCCACCCAGCAGCATAACAAAGGCGGCTTAATCCTCGCTGGCTTATCTACATATGCCATCTACATTACAAAGGCTCAGTTCCAGCAGCAGTACTGACCATCTCACAACTCCTCCTCTCCCGCGGCCCTTCCTGGCTCCTCCCCCCCTTAGCCAGTATATAAGGTCGTACCTCTTAGCACTTCTCTCCACTTGATACAGATTTTTTGCTGTGACAGTTTCACCTGAAGACGGAAGCTTGCGTTGCCCTCTGAAACGTCGTGATTATATAGTTTTTCTTTTTTATTAATTTTAATTTCATTTTTTACCTACGTGACTTTACCGAAAGAACCAAGAAGATGAATCCCTGCAGTCACGAAACCCTTAGCAATTAGCTGCATCGGGCGGTGGCGGGTTTAACGACACATTCGTATATTTACGCGATCTAACCCACAAATCGTTGAGCCAACGGCACCAAACCGCGCAGCCGACGTCAGCGGCGTTCCTGGCGGCCGTTGACGTGCCTCACCTCCCGTGTCGGGGTCGTGGAAGTTGGGGTCGAGGCCTTTGTCGAGGAGCTTGGCGAGCTTCTCCACGGCGCGGTGAGCCACGTAGTCCATGCACCGCTTGAGGTTCGCCTGCACGCACGAGCGCGACGGGCGGCACACGGCCGCATCAACACACAGCCCCCACCCCCCTCCACCCCCCCAGGACGGTGGTTCGGAGATGTTGACTACCTCGCCTGGTACGCAGGAGGTCGTGGGTTCGATCCTGACCCTGACGCCTGCTGCTGTATATTTGGAGTTTGCATCTCTCATCATCATCACGGTGGCTAGGAGATGTTAACTACCTCTCCCGGTACGCAGGAGGTCGTGGGTTCGATCCCGACCCTTACGCCTGCTGCTGTATATTTTTGGAGTTTGCGTCTCTCATCATCATCACGGTGGCTAGGAGATGTTAACCACCTCGCCTGGTACGCAGGAGGTCGTGGGTTCGATCCCGACCCTGACGCCTGCTGCTGTATATTTTTGGAGTTTGCGTCTTTCATCATCATCACGGTGGCTAGGAGATGTTAATCACCTCGCCTGGTGTACAGGAGGTCGTGGGTTCGATCCCGACCCTGACGCCTGCTGCTGTATATTTGGAGTTTGCGTCTCTCATCTTCATCACGGTGACTAGGAGATGTTAACTACCTCGCCAGGTATGCAGGAGGTCGTGGGTTTGATCCCGACAATTGTATTGTAAATGTTGTGTGGGTTTACAATTATAAATGTTGTGGGTTTACTCTCCAACACACTGGTGTGCTGTGCCAGTAACGAATTGACACGTTCTGTTTACGTGACAAACCTTACCAATTGGCTGTGTCGGGTGGTGGTGGGTCTAACGTTTGCAACCCTGGTGCGGCCGGGTACGGGTACGGTTAAGGAATCAAAACCCGTTTGCGACCTCTGCCGGAGGGGGCGGGGAGGATGGGGGAGGAGGTGGAGGGAGAGGTGCAGCGTGGGCGGCTGATGCTGCGCTCTCCTCTATAATTCATCAAACGCCGGAACGCGCCACGGAGCTCTGCTCAGCAGCGCCGGTGCGATGTTAACGAGGCGCGTGGCGGTGGCGGTGCTTGGGGGAGGTGGTGGCGGTGGAGGGGGTGGTGGTGGTGGTAGCGGTGGCAGTAGCGGTGAAGGTGATGGCGGTGGCGGTGCTGGGAGAGGTGGTGGCGGAGGAGGTGGTGGAAGTGGAGGTGGTGGTGGTGGTGACAGTGGTGGTGGTAGCAGCGTTGGTGCTGGGGGAGGCGGTGGCGGTGGAGGAGGTGGTGGTGGTGGTAGCGGTGGCAGTAGTGGTGAAGGTAATGGCGGTGGCAGTAGTGGTGAAGGTAATGGCGGTGGTGGTGCTGGGAGAGGTGGTGGCAAAGGAGGTGGTGGCGAGGTTGTTGTTGTTGTTATTATTATGAGAAGTGTTGGCCCTTCGTGTAAACGCGATTTGCGTGAGAAATCCGATGAGCTATGAAGCTCTTCGTCACAGATCTCCAGTACGGGCTGGGGTTCTCACAATTAAATTATAGAAACGTATACTAACAACAACAACGTGGTAGGGGGCACGGGTTCAGTATTGATGCCCCCAACCCCATCCCACCCCCCCACTCACGCAATAGCTTTAGTAAGGGGAGGGGGGGCACTGCACATGAATGGGGGGCAGAGTGGGGGGGGGGGGGGGCGACGTTGAATCACCTTCGAGTGCAGCTTGGACAGCTGCTTGTCGTCCAGGTTGAGTTGCTTGTAAACTCGCTTCTTGTATCGGAACTGCCAACGACAGAGTCGCCCCCCCACCCCCGGGGGGTTAGCAACGACGACGACAACAACAACAACAACGTCAGCTTCTTGGTTCTTTCGGTAAAGTCACGTAGAAGGGAAGTAATAAAATAATAAAAATAAAACATAATAAAATAATTCTCACGACGTTTCGGCCACAACGCAAGCAGCCGTCCTCAGGTGAAGAACAGGTCTGTCGATAAGACAGAGTCTAAAATGCGTTGGTGCTGGGGACGGCTGCTTGCGTTGTGGCCGAAACGTCGTGAGAATTGTTTTATTATGTTTTATTTTTATTATTTTATTACTTCCCTTCTACGTGACTTTACCGAAAGAACCAAGAAGATGAATCCCTGCAGTCACGAAAGCTTTAAATCGAAACAACGTCAGCGTCAACAACTGACAACAACAACAACAGCCGCATCTTCAACGTTAACAGCGGCGGCAACAGCTCCCACGATAAACATCAACGCCAATTCATGATAGAGGGTTTTTTTTTGGGTTAGATCGCGTTAATATATAAATGTTGTGGCGTTAAAATCCGCCACCACCCGACACAGCCAACTAGTGAGGGTTGTCACGTAAATAGAACGTGGCCAATTCGTCACTAGTACAGCATTAGTGTGTAGTGTATAGTGTAGTGTATAGTGTAGTGTATAGTAGTGTATAGTGTAGTGTATAGTGTAGTGTATAGTGTAGTGTGTAGTGTAGTGTGTAGTGTATAGTGTAGTGTATAGTGTAGTATACTAGTAGAGCACTAATACAGCAGTAGTGTATAGTGTAGTGTATAGTGTAGTGTATAGTGTAGTGTATAGTGTAGTGTATAGTGTAGTGTATAGTGTAGTATACTAGTACAGCACTAACCGGTGTGTTGGAGAGCCAAGCCACAATATTTACAATCTGAGTACGACGTTTCACCAGTAATTACAAACAGCTTCATCAGGCGACAGCCAGATTTGTGGAGAAGTCTGTTTCGTTCCTTAAATAGAGGCGTAGATGTGGTGACCACACTTCTGCGCTCTTGCGCAGAAGTGTGGGGGTGGGTGGGGATTTTAACGCCACATTTATATATTTACGCGATCTAACTCAAAACAACTCTATTATGGTTGACATTGGTCGCGAAAGCCTCCTACGTGTTAAACCAACACCATCATCAACACCATCATCATCATCGTCGTCGTCGTCAATGACAAGCGCCGTCGGACCTCTGACGTCCAATCCACACGGAGGAAAGAGAAGCGGGTGGGGGAGAGAAAGACGAGGAGGAGTGGTGGAGGAGGTGGAAGAGGTGGAGGAGGGAGAAGGAAGGAAATCAGTCGGCTACCGCCGCGGTCATCATCGCTGTGGGAGTCGGACCCAGGGCCACTCGGCGGCGCCGGACTCGAGTGCCGAGCCGACGCTGCCGTCGTGAGCGGCGCGTGTGACCCCCCATTCCTCGTCGCCCGCAACGGGAGGATTCCCGCTGTCCCCCGGTCCTGCGCGAGTGCAATGGCTCCTCCCGCCCCCCGCCCCCACCGGCGCGTTATCTCGTTCGTGCCGTTCGGCGCGCTCTCGTCCCGAAAGAAGCGGAGAAATTGGTTCTTTGATTTTTTGAGCGCGTGAGCGTGTGCCGGTGTGCGCGCGCGATTCACGCTCACGGCCAACGCCGGTGACGATTATCTGAACCGGTCCTGGGCTTCCCCCTAGGTCGACTCGGCCTCAAATGAGAGAGACAAAGGTGGCCCGGGCGTGGCGCTGGCCGCCCACCCCTGGCGTGCCGTGCCGTGCCGTGCCGGCCTTCACCGACGCTTGGAGGGGCGGGGTAGTGGACGGAGCGCTCGACGCCGGACGTAGACAAACACGAGCTCGTCGGCGGTGCGAGCGCGGCGAGGGGCGAGTTCACGACCGGCGCCATCCGCGCCCGACGGACGGCAACGCCGTTTGTCGAAGAGCCGAGCTGGGACAGAGAACGTCGCGTCCGGTTGCCAGCGCCCGGGCGAGACGACCGACACGACCGATACGATCGATACCACCGATACGACCGATACGACCGATCCAACTGATACCACCGACACGACCGAACCAACCGATACGACCGAGACGACCAAGACGACCGAGACGACCAATACCACCGATACGACGACCAATACGCAGTTTGAAAACACCGGCAAATGCGCGTCCGGGCACGGCAATGGTCGGTTTTCTCCGGGTGCACCGAACGCCGCCTAATCGTGAAACCCCGCCCCCCCCCGCCCCCCCCCCCGCCCCCCCCCGCCCACCCCCGCCCCCCCCCAGCACCAGCGGACTCAATGCAGGAGGCTCCTGTACACACAAAGTGAGTCTCGAGCCTCTGCTGTTGAAAACTTTCACACTCCGGCGGCGAGCGTCGTCCCGGCGTCATGAATAGCGACGTGACAGCGAGCGACGTGACAGCGAGCGACGGGGGACGGGGGGGGGGAGGGGCAGGGGCGGGGGGTTACAGTGCGTCGTTCAGCACGATGTCCGACGTTTCGGTCCCGTGCCGCCGCCGGCTACCCTTTCCGAAGCTCCTCCTGCCCACCGAGTTTTGCCGGAGAAGCTCGCGCGGGCGGGGGGCGGGGGGCGGGGAGAGGGGGGCGGGTGGAGGGGGGAGGGAGGAGCGGGGAGGGGGCACCAGGGAGGGGGGAGCGGGGGAATCGTCAGTGAAATCGGGCGCCAGACGACACCCGCCCGACGTCGCGTCGGAGAGACGAGAGCCGAGCGCCATACGGCAGCGTCAAACGCCACGTCTCGCCAGCGCACCTGCAGCAGCAGCAGCTGCACAGGTAGAGGCATGGCCGGCGGGAGAGGACGACGAGGGGCGACGGTCGAAGCTGGCAAACCCTCCCTTCTTCTCGCGAGTCACCAACTCCAAAGCCCTCACGCGTGCACCCCCCCCCACCCCTCCCCTCCCCTCCCTCCCCTCTCCTATCACCGCCACCCTCCTCCGTTGCCGGGGCTCCGTTGTCGGGGCGCCGTTGCCAAGGCGACGTTGCCGGGGCGCCGTTGCCGGGGGGCCGTTGCCGGGGCTCCGTTGTCGGGGCGCCGTTGCCGGGGGGCCGTTGCCGGGGCTCTGTTGCCGGGCGCCGTTGCCGGGTCGCTGTTGCCGGGGGGCAGTTGCCGGGGTTCCGTTGCCGGGTCGCCGTTGCCAAGGCGCCGTTGCCGGGGCGCCGTTGCCGGGACTCCGTTGCCGGGGCGCGAGCGCCGGTGGTGACTCGAGCCAGAGGAGCCGAGAAGATCTTTGACCATTCTAAAATGTTTTTTTTATTGCGTTAGACTCCATTTGTTTTTCTCATCAATCCATCGCTGCGGCTGACTTGGGGCCGACTTCACCGCCCGTCACGGTTTCGTTTTCGTCGTATAAATATCCCCACCTTCTTAGCCGCAGCTCACATTACATCCCTGCCTGCCTGCCTGCCTGCCCGGAGCAGCACTGGCACAAGCGCGGGCTCCGTGCGTGGCGTAGCCAAGCGCACACGTGCACCGCGAGCCGCCTCTCCCTCCCTCCCTCCCTCTCGCTCGCTCGCTCCATCGTGGGGGGCGGTGGTGGAGTGGGTTGTGGCTGGAGGGGGAGGTGACGGCGACGTCGGACCAGCGGGCAGGCAGTGCGATCTACTGGCTGCGCGGGGGACAGCCCCACGTTCATCTTCTCGGTTCTTTCGGTAAAGTCACGTAGAAGGGAAATAATAAAATAATAAAAATAAAACATTATAAAATACAATTCTCACGACGTTTCGGCCACAACGCAAGCAGCCGTCCTCTTAGGTCCGTTCGGGGCTCCGACAAGCTGAAGCCGTGCAAAGACAAAGATCCCCCCCCCCCGGATAGCTTCCAACAGGCTGTCGGGGCAAGTGCTCTTAGCGAGCAACGGTGGAGTGATGATGTCTCCACACCACACCAGGTGTGGAGGCACCAGCACTCCAGGCGGCCATGTGGACCTATGGGGTGTGCCCAGGACCGGTTGGGATCATCGTCACCGGCGTTTGTGCCAGGCTAGGTGCGCTTCGAGGCAACGTGAAGTGTCGAACGCCCGCTGGCAGGTCGTCACAGACCCAGATGCCACAGGTCGACCGACTGAGACAACTGGCTAATGCACCACCTGTGCCCCCTAATGTGCCAACTTGCTGTACTTTAGCCACCCGGCGCTCCGCTCGTTGTTGTGAGCGTCACTCCTCCGCCCTCCGTTGTTGTTGAAGGGCGACTGCCTCCAACTGCCCAGTAGCAGCGTCCTTCACGAGCCTCCTCCTCCACAGAGGCCGATCTTGACACCGCTGGTACCAGTCATCGGCAAGTCCACTCAGCTCCACGTACTCCTGTACCATGTCACTCCATCTCTTCTCTAGCTCGCCGCCGACAGGAGGCTTCGGCCACGGACCCCAGGTGCCGTTGGTTGACCGACTGAGATGAGACTGGCAGACGCAACCACCTGTGCCCCCCAAAAACAAAGACAAAGATTCCCCCCCCCCACCGTATAGCCTCAACAGACTGTTGGGGGCCGGCACGGCACACACGGAGGGGGTAGGCGGCCAGCGACCACGCCCGACCGCCTTTGTCTCCCCAGTGGCGATGTTCAACACACTGCTGCAGGTACTGAGTCGACCTAGGGGAGACCCAGGACCGGTTCAAATTATTGGTGCTGGGGGGAGGGGGGTGGGTGGGGATTTAAGAATCTTTGGTTCTTTCGGTAAAGTCACGTAAGTAAAAAAAAATATACAATTTAAAAAATAATAAGCAAAAAACCCACGACGTTTCCATCGCAACACAAGCGGTTTGCTGCTGCTACTGCTGTTGCTGCTGCTTCATGAAGACCGCTGCGCCGGGAGGGTAAAGTGTCGGCGGACTCTTCAAAGACGTCTTGGCGAGCGTGTAAAGAGAAGACCAAAACTACCCACGCTGCCTTTGAGCACAAGTGAAAATTGCGCGTGGCAGCAATGAGCACGATTATTTTATTGACTGCCAGGGGACTGCGGCGTTCCCTCCCTGGGCGACCGTGACGG